CAATTATGTTGATCTATTATATGTATCATTCTGACTATTATAACCACATTTGGGCCGTATTTAATAACCTATACAACAATTTGGTCTTTTATAATTATACGTCTTAGTTTAAAACATTTTGATTTACCTGGTTTTACTTAGAAGGCTTTTTTTGATTGAGAGATTGCTCGAACCCTTGATATTGGACTATTTTTGTGTGTTTAATTGCTACTTCTAAATTCATGGCAATTACAAATTATATGGCTCTGATGTAATTATACGCACGCAAGCCGTTGGGATGATATAAAAATATATATTTTAAATTCTATTTCTATTAATTTGTTAGACAATAGATACTTCCAATGATTTTTTACATGAATAACGATATTTTTAATCGGATTATATGGCGTATAGTAATTGGTAAGTACGTACTTAAGTTTGTGACGTTTGGTATGGACACCGTTATTTTAAGCAATGGCTTAACTAAAGGCGCTTTTTTTTCATTTATTATTTTTAAAACAAGATTATATATATAAATCAATGGCTAACCCTAACAGTAAAACACCGTTTATTCATTAATGACAAATTTATTCATCCTAAATATTTCCTAAGAAATGTTTCAAATTGATAGTGTTATTTTCTCGACCAATTTGTCTGACCTTGCCCTTTTTCAATCTTTATTTGACGTTTCGATGTCAGGCTCACGATTTTGTTGCTGTTACTGTGTTTTTTTTAGGTGACCTGTTTTATCTAAATTCATTCTTATAAGTGAGGATATTGGGACGGATTTTGAAAGTTTGTCTATTTTATTTTTTTATTATTTTACCGCTCGCTTGTCAATCAACAAAACAGTTTGACAAGCAACTTTCATGCTACGTAATATGTTGTAAGATTTACCTGTGATATATTTAATTGGAGATATATCGAATTATCAGATGTCGTGTTTTGACTGATGGCTAGAGTTGTGGATTTTAAAATTGGTTTATATTAACACGCTGACAAAAGTGTTTGATTAATCTAATAAAATAAGCTATCTTAGTTGTACTATTACAAGTGCAATAATTTTTTTTATCCAAGTTCTTTAATCTTATTAAAGATCATCATTATGTTTGATTCATAACATACCTACGTATAAATGTGAATCACAAAAGAAATATTTTTATCACTATTAATAAAATATGAATTTTAAGCAGCCTCTAAAAGTTATTGAAGTAGGATATGAAGAAATGGCTTTATGTTGTAATTGTATCTTATTCAAATAAACGAAATATACCGGGATTGTCTATTTAAATTTGAATACAGTTACTACGTGAAAAGACACAACGTATATGGCAACGCAATGGAGTATTGGAATATTATGCTTAATCCAAGTACGAGTACCTACACATCGTTACATTACATACACTTCGATGCCTGTCCTTGTTCAAAAACCTACGTTAGAGCTAAAACTTGCAAAAAAATATTAACGAAACACTGTCAACTACCCGTATCTAGGGTGTCGTAGACAACTTCAATAGGCGAAGTAGTTTTTGTGCAAAATTACGTGCGAATAAAATTATACTAGGTACGTATAATTTAAGAATTTTTTAAAAGTATTTGGATGAAAATTATTGTTATGAAAATTTAAATATTTTACGTAGCATAAACTCACAAAGCCGACGATATATGAACGCCGGTTAAACATCTGTGGGTGCGAGTGTTCTAATTGGCTGAATGCATGATATGACAGCTGTCAATCAATGATGGCGTGTTATGAAACCCAAGTGGCGCGTGCGCTGTGGTTTCACGATGAGAAAGAAATAGTAAGGTTAGCCGATGTTTTGCCCATCAATTTATATAGAAATATAATATTTTTATATATCACAACACCGGAGAAATTTGGGTACATTGTTTGCTCCGTCTTTTAATCTATTTCAAGACAATAGCATTTATGTTTTGATAAAAACAAACAAACAAAAATAAATAGTCTCTTTTTTCCATCCATACGTTTGAATGAATAAGTTTTGAGATTAATATTAAGCCTATTTGCAAAACTTGGTGATTACCTACTAATAGGTAGAACTGTTCTTTAAGCAAACGGGCAAGTTAAACTTGTTGTTATTTAAAACAAAGCTACCTTTTTTGACTCAGTGGTATTTTTAATGAAACCTACATTCATATTCATATTCACACATGCATGTATATTAAATGACAGGTGATAAGAGTAACTTTCTAATAAAAAACAATAGAATTGCCGAAACAACAACAGCGGTATAGCTCCAAGGCGCTATAAATCTTCTAAAATATATCGCAATTATGTTGATGGTAATAAATCTAAAAATAATGCCCCAAAGATCTAGTTGAGCTACTTCAGGTTGTTGTTACGTTGCTGGCGGCAGTGCAATCTTCATTAAGTAATTTTATTGTTTATGGAACTTCTTTATATTACATTCTGTAAATACTATCTAATTTTCACAGAAAGTATACTAACTAACGACAAATGTTTAGTTTACATGTAAAAGTAATAACGGGAAAAATAAATTAGATATAGCTATTAGGTATAATCTTTTGCTTATTTTTTGGCATGCATAATACAAAACGAATGCAGTATTTAAAGTGAAATATTTATTATTCCATATTCTCTAGGACGTTCCATATTCATGTACCTACGGGTTGAGTATCAATTAATTAATGATTCGTGTAATTGAATTCAACTGCCTGAATTAACCTCGATAAATCACTGTGTTACTTTCATAATTCAACACGAATGTCAGTCAGTTTGCGCCGGCGCATGACAGATAAAATAACATGAAATATAGCGGCTTAGCCCTTCCAAATTCGACTTTAATCCTCACTGAATTGCTTTTAATTGGGACAAAAGAGTGGAAATAACATTCGAGTGATTATCGAAATCGATTTCGGTTTCAGAATAGTCATGGGAAAGTCGGTGTTTTTTCGACCCGGAATTTCGTCAGCGATTATCCCTCAATCAGAAGGGTTTTGTGCAATTTTCATTGACTGGCAAATTGAGGATGCCGATTGCGAGATACCATCTGTCAAAGTAACTCACGTCGTCAATTGTGAGCTAAATCTAAGGCAATCACCCACAAAACCTCTAATTTGGCATAATCCATATAAGTATTTAGAAATTTTAGCAATTCCTGGAATGCATTTATTTGTAGCGCTTATAATAATTAGCTATTATGTTGTTGAATTGATATACTTTTTGTATTTAATTTATAATAGGAACGTGACTTTTAACTTATCATATCCAGTTTTACCTACAAAAATAATTATTATACTTTTTTATAATTGTAATATCTTTATTTATGTTCTGTATTCATAAATCTACTACTGTCGAAGTTAAAGGTAAGCTTTATCTGAATAGTATCGAAGAAAATATTCACCTACGCATGAATTCACGTAAGACCTGTAGCGACATCGTGTTGTCACCGATGACATTTCGAAGTTCCAGCTTCTTACAATAGATGGCGCGATATAGCCCCCGACTCAAAATATAAACATGTACATAATTTAACACTTATTAATTTGTTACTTTTACACCAGACCAGTAAGTCTACTGGCTATGTTTTTTGACCACTGATTCAATAAAGAGATTAGAAAACATTAAATAGTATTCCTAAAATCTAAGAAACTTGATTTTATTTAACAAAAAGTAAAGATAAAGTGTTCGTACATTTGTTACTATAATTAAAATAATAAATTAGTGTTGTGTTTACAACTGAAAGATCAAAAAATATATAGAAATATATGTTTCTGAATGTATTTAACTGATTATAATGAAACAAGATTAAATGTAAATAATGGTTACATAGATACGAATAAGTTGGTGAGGGTGGCTTGAATCGGTTAAATCTTTCTGAATAAAACAAATGACTTATAAACATCAGCAGATTAATTTAAGACTGCTGATAAGATTAAATCTCATATTTCCTTTACTACATAAATATTATTGTTCTCAATGTATATTTGTTTCTGTATAACAAAAAGATTTAGAAAATCTGGATAATCACACTGTTCGTTTATTTAGATCCAAAGTAGTTAAAGAAAGTTATTAGGTACATAGCAAATGCAGTACACTTTGGCATCTACATAATAGTTGTATTAAATTACTTATGAGCGCAGGCTAAGGTATAATTAAAATTAATTTTGTTCCTCGGAATTTCCTCATAATGGTTGTAATATTGCACGAACGATGCACGCATGGCTCTCACACTTAATATGTAATTTGTCGAAATCGTGAATTAACTTTCAGTACAATATTAAGTAATGTTATAATATTTTATTTTTATTCAATTATTCTATTAAATTTGATAATTTTAATTTCTTATTCTTTGTTATTTATTTATTATATTTTCTTCACTTAGGGAAATAAAACAAAAATTAAATTTGTATTGATTTTTGCTTTTAATATTTCTTTGCTGATAGCCTCATAAACTTATAACTAAACTTATTCATATTTCTATTTACAAATAATACTTGTTTCTACATATTTACAATAAATTTAAAATATTCTATAATATAACCTTATATATTAACTAGGTACATTTATTTTGAACGTAATTTGAGATATCATAGCCATAACTTTTGGAATGAAAATCAGTTAATCGAAGGTAATACTTTTTGGTAACTTTAGTTAGCCGCTAATCTTACAATTAGTCTGAGAAACTATCATAATAAATAAATATTTAATAAACATAACAATAATTAAACAATTTCAGTCTTTAGTATTTAAATAAGATCAAATATGTATTAATCGTAGGATATAGAAGCCTAAGTATTTAAGAATGTACTTGTAATTAGTAAGAGAACTGAGATACATCTTTGGTTGAGTTCATAAAAGGTACAAATTTTAATCTCTTACTTCTGTTTCTATAACGCATCGTAATACATAAATAGTATACTGGGTAAAATTTTACTATCTAAAACAAGTTTCATTTACAGACTGCATGTTAGCATCGTACGTCAAACTTGTCCTACAAAGCGGTTCAACTCACTTTCAACTAAACCTATAATTATAGTTAACGCTTCATAATATCTTCTATTGAAAATCCTAAAGGTCTTTTTGGTTCGACGGGGGATTCTTGGGGATTGAGCGGGTAGTGTACAGGGGGTGGCGATGGTTTGTGTGAAAGATCTAACAAAGGAGACTCAGGAACATGGCTTGTTGAAGATACTTCTTGACAGCCTTCCAAGTGCTCCAAGTGATGCTTGTTTGCATCGCTGTGAGTCAATAAGTGAGTCTTCAAATTCGATCTTTGGTTAAAACTTTTGTTGCAAACAGGGCACTTATGTGGAGATTCTTCCATGTGTAAAATTTTATGAACAGCCAATGTTCTTGATTGACAGAAACCTTTACCGCATTCAGTGCACTTAAAAGGCTTCTCCTTAGAATGGATATACCTGTAAAAATAGAAAACAAAAATTAGATAACGCACAAACTCTCTCTCGAGGTGAGAAATACGAGAAATTGTGTAAACATAGGTCCGACGCTTTATGGATCAATGTGTCGACTAACAACCGTTTTGAATAGGGATCGTTGTAATTCCATATTGGGCATATTAGATGCTTAATATACACAGGGTATAATTTAAGAAAAAAAAATGTCTCGTAAAAGCGAAGAAATATAACGTGTAATTTGTTCGACGGCGAAGCAAGACATATATGGTGATCGTAAAGAACTTAAACCGGTTGTGGGCAGAGCGCGTGCGGCCGCCTTGCGACCCCACAAAAAGGTTTACACTTTTATTTTTATATATTTTTTTTCTGTTATCGCCAACAAAGCCTCGGTGAAACAAGCTTTAAATCACGTTGTTGGTATTAGAAAGGAAACATTAAATTAAATCCGAAGTTCTCGTGTTAGTAATTGATTAGTAACATTGCTACAGAATTTATGTCTTAAACTTAAACAGATTTTTATCTATTTGTGTTTTACTATTATTTTAATTAATCACTTGTGTGTCTAGTGTACAGGTATGATAAAAATGATATATGAAAATAAAACCAACCTGTGATCTCTAAGATGATCTTGTCTTCTGAAAGCCTTCCCGCAAATATCACATGAGTAAGGCCTTTCATCCGTGTGCGTTCTTTCATGTATCAATAAGTTATAGGACTTCGTAAATTGGCGATTGCAGTATTTGCAAATGAATTGTTTCTTCGGCCGCGTACCGGGAACACTGGGTGCTCTCATTTGAGGCGGATTTCTTCCAGGCATTCTTTGCGCCATTGAGGGATATCTTAACGAGTGATGATACAAAGCCGCGTTTCTTATCCACTGATTTACCAGCATCGCGTGGTACGGTGCTGACGGAGGGAGTGCGGCAACTTGAGGTTGAACGTAAGGTACAGTTGGTACTCCAGGAACTGTAGGGTATGTATAATTGGGGATTTGTTTGTCGTAAGGATAAGGCGACTGCATTGTTCGGTTTTGGATGGGATATTGTGGTGACCAGGCGGCTTGGTGTCGTGATACGACAATTGCTGGTGGAGTATCGTCAGTTGGAGTGTGAGGAGGCGTCGGTAAAGGAGGTGATGGTCTTTCTAACTTCACTAAAGCCTCGATTGGAAAGTCTGGCGGATAACCTGGAGAAGCAATCAAAAACAAACTTTAATATTACGAATTGGCAGCAAATATTTTAATTAAAATTATTATATCACATAACTTTAATAGAATGAAAACTTCGAAATTTAAATTGCTATATAAGACAAAATGAGGTTTAATATAATCAATTGCTAAATGCAAATTAAAAAAAAATTAAAAAACAAAATATTTGTTTAACACATATGTATTAATTTTATTCACAAATAATTAAAACAAGATCTAAATAAACATGAATACTTACTATGATTCTGTTCAATGTGTTCGTCTTCCTCTTCCTCGATATTGATATCGTCGGAACTGTCAACACTGTACGGCTTATCTTCCATTTCCACAACAGTACAATCCATAGAAACAAAACACAATCACAAGCACCAGTCACTGTCACAGCTGAACCGGTTTGTAACTGACAACCGGCTAGCGAGAGCGCGCAGAGTGATATGAGTCTGTGTGCGTTTGTTATCGAGGCCTTGCTGGCTTGGTGTGGGGGAGGGGGGTATCAAAGGGACCGCTTCTACCGGCGCCTGTGTCGGCTCCCGAAGCAGCTCTGCACCTCCCAATAGGCGGAGCCTGAGCGGTTCTGCCTTCGGAATCGATCGATTATCAGAGAGAATCGTACCAACTTGGTCTCTATGTTAAAATTACAGAGTTCTATCTGCGTTTCAGTAGAAAATGTTTTCAGAACTGTGTCGCAATAACTCGATGTGGTCTTAAGACTTTCTGGCTTTGGATTTAGTAATGCAAATTTTTGGTGACACCGTGTCCGTAGTTGAAGCTATTAGGTGAGCGAATTGCCTTCGTAATTGCGTTTCGTAGGCAAGTCTTTATAGAAATTGTGCGCCTTTGTTAGGTTTTCCTTTGTTATTTAAATCTGTGTTGCAAATTCTACTGCTATTATAGCTAACTATTGCATCGCATCAACTAGTGCAGCTATAGTCTAATGCATATTTATGTAGTCGAAAATTAGTAATTACTAATTATTAATTAGGTATCATCTAAGAAATTAATTAAAACTCTTAATATTTAATTACATGATTACTTACTGCGTTAATAAATTAATAAATCTATTTAACATCATTTTGATTCACAAATTTCTGTAAATTGTATTTTGATTATGTTTCTTCTTAATTAGGTACTTACCTACATACTTACTTCGAAAATTGCTCACCTCATAGTGACGGAACCTGATTTATACTAATAAGAAAAGCTGCTTTAACAGTCAAATTTCATTCCACGTAGCCAATTTCCTTTAACAAAGTAGAATCTATTTTTATTATTTATATAAAGAGACAGTTATTAATACGAATAATATCTAAAAGTACTTCAATAAACTTATATTAGATATATATCTTAAATAATTGAAATCAATTAATTTATTTTACAATAAAAAAGTAGGGGAGCGGGGGGCACGTTGTTACAATTTTTAGATAATTATTAATATCACAAAAGCTATCAAATAATGTATACATTTGATTGGTTTTACCATTAGTGTGTCTATTTAGCTAGTAGAATAGAATTGGAAAAATATTAAAATTTACGTAATTTTTCCCAAAATAGAGAATTAATGAAATAAGTCGATTGCAACAACTTACCCCTGACTTGGGGCTAGTTGTTACAGCTTCGGGGCACGATGTTACTGTAGGTAAATAAACAAAATGAACAATAATAAATCATTTATTTTTTAATATTTCAAAACGTTATGAATAAAAAAAAACTATTTTGATCAGTCTTATAACATTTATGAGCAATTATAATATCTATATCGTAATTTTCCAACTTTTTAACAGCAATAAACACATAACTTTGGCAGGAACTTTCTTAAATCTTATATATCGTTTATTTTGGTTATTTTGGTTTATCGGTTAATACAGCGGACTTACGTTTACGACGTTTATGGATGGATTGTTTTTGAGCCTCTGCCTTGGGAAAGGACCTTATCTTTGAAGGCGAAAAATTTTCAAATGTACTTTGTATACCAGATCTGGTATGGTATCTCTAATTCAATTTTATTTTTAAAACTTGACGAATCTGCACTGGGTAATGTTGTTAAACATTCTATATCTTGCGAACAAGCTGGATTTGGAGAAAGTGAAACAGTAATATTGTTAATAGTGTCAGGATTGGTTGCTGTTTCGATTGCCTGTATGATTTCATTTGTATAATTTCATTTTTTCACTTTCCATTTATTCTAATTTTTAAGTACAGCGTAGTAATTTCTAAATGATAGTCAATGAGATGAACGGTAATACAAGATCTGAGGCAAGTTGTTACATGTAACAACCTACCCCGAAAAACTGTAACAACCTGCCCCATGGTGTGTTTTTTAATTAAAATTAAAGCCGCCATTAATGGATATCAATAGCAGAATAAAACGCTATTACAAATGAAAACTCGATACATTATGAACGTTCGAGGCGAAAAGAATTTAGAGAATAACAAATATAGACAGCAGGAATCAAAAATTTCGTAAAAGATTTTGTTACGAACTTGATGGAAATGGAGACATGTGCACAAAACCCATAAGTTTGCCGCTTGGCGGGTCACTGATTGTTTTTTTGCAACGCACGATGTTATAAGAAAACAAATGAGTCCACTTACGTCTACCAAAGAGTTGAACATCCCGGTAAAAAACGCGTGTAACTTCTTACCCCTGCAACAACGTGCCCCCCGCTCCCCTACTTCAAGATAACCTAACTAATACCTAGGTGCTTTTTAATCTGTTTATCCTAAAGGTCCATAATATTTAGGTATATTACTTTATCTAATTGAATTGTAGCGTTATTTTTGATATTAAATGACATTCCATGACATTTAAACTTCCAGTTTTATGAACATTAATTACTAAATAAAACTAAATATATATTACGTATTTACAGTTAGATCGCCCAATGGTTTTATATAGGAAGATAATGATACTTTTGAATTATAAAATAAGTAGGTAATAGGCAAGTAAAAAAAACTGGATAATTTTAGTAGGTATTTGTATTATTTCTATAGGTATGCTTAAAATACCTAGTTGAATGTTTCGACTTATTATATAACGCAATGATTTTCTGTCTAGAGGGAAAGTTATAAAATAATCTTAATTCATTTTTAACCACTGTCAATTGTTCTTGCATTTAAGTTAGTTTAGTTTTATCTATCTATGTGATAATTTTCAATTCAACTTTCCGTCGGAACTAAAAGGCTTTCTGGAATTAAACCAAACCAAATACAAATAATACTTACAAAACAGTACTACAAGCGATTGATTTACCCACAAAATATTTAACTTGACATATTTACCTAAGTGTTAACATATCCTATATAATAAAAATAACACATTTGAAGTTACTTCAACAACCTTGTAATATTCAAACTTTTTGATGCAACAATCCTTCCCTCTGTACACATTTTATTCGACATCAAGAGAACCGCTTAATAATATGTTCTTAATACTTATGCAATAAGATATTCGCGTCCAATCGCTATTGCTCAATTAAGCCACATACAACATTTCAACGGCCATTTAAAATTCAATGCCAAAGGAACAATCATTTCTCAAGCATCATAACGAGCTAACTTCTAGACTCAACAAGGTGTCTAATGGTATACCAGCCGGCTACTAAATAATTAGACGAAACAGCCTTAACGCCAAAATGATAGACGCTAATATAGTTCCTATTGTGATATGGTAAGAAATATATTTGCTTGCATTCCATTCAGTTGAGATGTTTCGATGATAGATAGTTAATATTTACGTCGGTCCTTTTGATCGCGGTACAAAGAAAGCCGCTTGTGTCGTAGCTCACCTGACTGTTTGCGCACACATGCATTACTATATACGACTTACGATTGTATTAAGTTCAGTGTTGGAGACGAGTATTTGTGAGTCTTATAACGCTAATGAACGAAGTAAAACTTATTATAATAAATTAAAGATTTAATATCATACTTCAAGTCACAAAGAAAAGTTTACTTATACCTATATTTGCATTCCATACAAGTTTTTCACCCCTCTAAATCAGTTTATAAATACGAATTAGATATAATGTTAGAATGACGACTAAGATATATTCCCTTTAATCAAATATTTCGCATCAAAGAACGATAAATAAGTTAATTTTGCATCAAGCTTGATCAAAGCAAAATCTATAAGATTAAAAATTTCATAAACAATTGAATATTTATTTATTTGAATATTAAAAATGCATAATTAAATTTTTATTGAAATAAACGATACATTTGTATGAATTTAAAATTAATTAATTGTTGACTTAATGATAAATACGACAGCGAATCAATTATATATTTATATTTTTAAGTAATTCATTTACAACTGATCAATTTGGATATTAATATGTATAAACCAATCAATTAAAGTTCAATTATCAGGTTTAACAATATATTAATGATATTTCAAATGAAATGTTCAGTCTAGACTAGCAGATTTATTAATAACTGGTAGATACACTGACATACCTATGTTTATAGGCACGAAATTCAGTCTTAGGTTGGTATAGGTGACTTACATATGAACTTTTTAAAAACCTTTTCATAAGATATATCTTGTAAAAAATTATATCCGCTTCTAATTATTGGAAGTTTGGTATACGCAATAATATTTCTAACCCTGACCTAGCACCGGAAAACTATGTTTGCTTGGGAGATAATTTAAAATTCTGAGACTTTAAAATCAGTTTGCTTAAACATGTTTTAGCACTCATTAAGCAGGTAAGACTTAGTCACAGTACCGGCTAAATAACATTAAAGATGCCGACGAATAAAAACAATGAATAAAGGACCGGAGGTTGTTAAAATAGCAAATAATTGTTTACGATACATATAATAGAATTAAGGCGCCTTAGTTGCCACTGTTGCTTTTGTAAGGCCGCCTTATCACCAACAATTGGAGTATTTTACTGAGAACTCATTGATAAGTTTAACCTTAGAGAACTATGACCTTAAAAATGTTTATATTCACAAACAATGACTATTGTTGATTTGAAAGATTTGTTTCTTAATAATTGCGAATAGTTGAAAAGGCAAATGCAGTGTAATAAAACTATGTAAAGATAAAATAAAGCTTTGTTTAACCAATTCCTGGCAAAATTGTTTCCGTCTACAAATAAGTAAATAACAAAATAAGATACGAACGTATTTTTCAAGTAATAATATGGGTACGAAGAATATAAAACATATAATGTGTTGTTGTTTTACATTGTTTTGTTTTCTATTCCGACGGCGGTTAGGCTTTTGAAATATATATGCTAAAACCTTAAATATTTATGCATTAAAATAAATAAGATAAATTGCATATCATAATCACACTAAATACAAAGTATTATCTTTTTTGCCATGGATATGCAACACAGTAGTTTTAAAATATTTTCCCTTTGGTTATGATGCAATATACCTACTCTTAATCATTTGGTATAATTAGCCATTTTTTAGTTACTTCTCATTTACGTCTTTGCTAATTAATTTTTAGCACGACTTTTAATTATTTATTAATCACAGCGCTCACCAATATAAGCCTTAATATTTCCGACTGTCACTTTCATCTCGTAAATAATAAACAATACAGAGTTGATACTTTATTACTCGAGAAAATGATTACCAATACTATGTAGTTGATATTTCCACATTCAGAGTTTCTAGTTAATAACTTCATTCATGGTATTTTAAAATCGCAAAGCTAATTGTTTTTATAGTAAAATGAATTTTATTACACTGCTCTAAGGTGCCTTTTAAAAGGAACGCCTATTTGTTTATAAAGATAAAATTAGGACGATATAAATGTTGAAAACATAATATTCATCATTTTACTTATAACATTACTTGTAGAAAACTTTTATATGAATATTAAGAAATTCTCAAGGTAAAAGTAAACTATAAGAAAAGCTACTGTTTGTCTTTAAAAAACATTCAAAAGAATTTTCTATGTTATTTTATGACAATTTATGTTTGTAGTAAATAGTAATACTAAGAATCGTAACAAAACATCTATTTATCCATCATATAAATGTACCTAATATTCCCTGAAACCTGAAATCTTTTTAAAATGGAAATATATACATATAGTTAAAATAAAAAAATTATAATTTTCATTAAAAATATTACAATTTCTTTTGATAAAGTACCCTAATAAATATAAGTACAAGCTATTAGGATATTAAATTTCCTGATTAGGT